TAGCGGGTTTTAATTATAATCCGTTACTTTGAAAGTTTCTCTGACACAACACTAGCTCAGAGGCAGAAATCAGACTTATCCTTTCGCCAAACTCAAAGAGTCAAGAATATGGTTTTAGTTCTTAAGAAACTGATACACGAGAACTGCCACGTGCTTCATTTCTCGGTACTCCTTTTACGCTAGCCCCTGTTGTATTAATCCAATTTTTATTTCTTTATTTACACCTTCAAAGTGTCTTTATTTGTCCCTAACTTGATATTTTAATCAATTTAATGATTCCCACCTTTTCTTCCTGTTATTTATTTAGATTAAACTTTCTAATTTGTATGGAATTGAAGAAAGTCTAGATTACTTCTTATAATATCCTGCTCTACAAATTTAAACTATTAATTCTTGTTTCCCGTTGCTTCTTAACGTTAGTTACTTCTGGACTCCCATTATCACCATCTATCAAAAACTAATCAATTTCCTGAAGAGGCGGACTATTTAATCTTTGTGCTAGCTAATGTTGGCCCACCTATTATACTGGCATAGGGAAATCAACCCAGCTGCCTACTATTTGAACTTTGTTAGTTCAACGAACATATAATGCTTTTTAATTCTTGTAGAAATCATGTAGTTTATTTTCACAGTATTTTACTCCTAAATAGGGTTCTTTCTTAAGTACTGATGCGTCCTCTTAACTTTCGACTAAATTGCTCTAGCGTTTGAGAAGCAACATCATACAAAAGAAAAACAATTTTTTTTTAATTTCACCGGCTGGACGCGGGCTAGTTTGAGCATTTGACGAGAATAGCCCAACCTATCTATCATTTAGCCATCTCATAGCTGAGAACGTTGGCCAAGGTGCACCACAGGGGGCACCTGGTTTTACATCCACAAGAAGAAGAGGTAGACGGATGCACACTTTCATGTCTTATCCAGGATTCAAACTCGAGCCCAACGCTATAGCAACTGGCTTTCCTTACCAGTACGCCAAACAAGCGGGTAAGAAAGCAAATATGCATTGTTGATTCAGAAAATCTTTGGCGCTTAAGAAGTGACGAAGATGGAAAGCATATTAACTACAGATGACTGAAGATGGAAAGCATATTAAATACAGAGATATAGTTTGATTTTTTTGTGTTATCTAATATTGTAATTATGGATGATATTCTCCGAAGCTTCTTGCCTGAACGGAGTTTCAGAAGAACAGTACTCCTTCGCATAGGACGCTTTATTCCATAATTTCTTAGAAAAAGCTTTCGAAACAAGATTTTGAGATAGGGAGGTTTTGTGGAATAGTAACTACTCCTTCCCCCATTTTGGCTCCTATGAATTTCTTTCATTGGAGTTATCTGTAATGAAATATGGGTGATGTGCGCAATAAGCCGCAATACTTGATAAACGTGCAAGATGAAATGTGTGATCTGAAAGCAATATCAAATTAAAAGTAACTTACCCCCAAAGGATGACACTTCAAATAATCTGAATTAAGAGAAATTTATTATATCTTGACATCGGGAAATTTTAAATTAACACCAGCATAAATCAAGAAAAGATCGCCAGACAGAAGATAATAAACCGTGATCATATAGCTGCAGTAAGTATCAGTCCTACCATTTTGAATTCTAACCTTTCGTACAAGAAATGCGTAATATTTCATTCAAAGTAAATCTCAGTTTATCTTCGTTAAGCAAAGTTTCACGATAACAAAAATTTTATAACGGAGGAAATTGAGTTACTGGTTATTCCAATATATATTTGAAGAAACACAAGGCGAATTTCTGTACCATCAGGTACGTGCACATGAAGTGCTTTCGACGATATTTCAAGTCGTAGAACATCATTAATTTACTGCAGAAGTCAGCATCTAGATAAATTTAGTTGAATCTTCAGTACCAATTTCTATTTTCTAGGCGAAATGCATTCTCTTCAAACTATATGGAGATGGCCGTCAGAAAGGAATGGAAAAGAACAAATATTGCAGACACGCGTCGTCCGTGGTGAGAACGACAAGAAGCGTCTTACACCTTCGGAGTCCAGCAGCAGAAGGAAGTAAAACCGGTTGTAGTCGTCAAATTCGCTCTGTCATTGAACGGTTGCAGTGAACAGACTTGATATTGAATAAATGTGGAGGCTTGCCTGCACATTATCTAAATAGATAGGTTTTGGCAATTCATCCGAAATGGCATTAAACACTGAATTCGAAAATTTAGTGTCCTCTGCGACATTGCAATCCTGTCGAAATTTGCAAAGGCATATACAGTTACTTGCAATGATAAAGTTAAATGCTAAAGAACACTGCAATGGATAGTCGCAATTTTAAGCAGGATCTCTAGCAGACTGGACTTCTTTTACAATAGTAAAAGGTACTTACATAAGTACCTGATTTTTCTATCGTTCTTATTTACCTGATTTTTCTATCGTCTTAATTCATGTTAATGTGTAAACAGCAAGTTTTTCGACCTTCTGGTTTATACACAGGATTATCTAGAACTTGATGTAGATGACAATTTTCTCCTGTTTTTCATCATTTTAGAAACCCGCCTTCTTCCGTTCGTAAATATGTTCGACAAATTTACTGAATCTGTAGCTGATAACTTGTTTCCACTGTATCCAACTTATTGAATATCAGTTTTCGGTTACTATCACAATTTTGAAAGCATTTCCTTTAATACCATAAGACGAAAAATTATTTTGTTGTTGCCATGCTCATGAACAGTAATACTGCAGTAATGGCCCCAGAATAACACAGTATTGCAATATTACTTTATTGCAATATTACTGTATTACTATTACTGTTATTATTACTGTATTGCAGTATTACTGTATTACAATACTGCAATACAGTGTTATTCTGGGGCTCTTAGCAGTACTTTCCAGAACAATTATAGAGTTTCTCACAGAGTCCTAGAATGAATAGTATATGAAATGTGCCCTCGTAGGAGGTCTTAGATAGTGAAAGAAGAGAAGAAGGCCTTTGCCTTTGTAACAGATCGAGTTGACATGCGTCTATAGCACTATAACACTAGGAGAAAGTTCAGGTAAGCGGCGGGTAAGATGAGTGTTCCTGACTATGAGAGTAGCGTCAACTTCCAGGTAACGGTGTCCAATCCAGGCAAGAGACGAGAAAGGAAAATGCACAGTATTTAAGAATTTACATCATGAAGCCTGACAGACAGTTAGGCTGTATGTAGGTGACAGACAGGCTGTACGTAGGTGAGGGGTGAAACAGCATATCATGTGACAAATCCTTTTTGCCGTAGATGTGCAGCATATGGACGAATGAAAAAAGTCATCCACTAAGGTTTCATAATTTACAAATGCAACAACATTTCCAGTGGTATTACCTGCTGCCTTGTTGCAAAATTTCATATTAAATTTATTTAAGTACACAATAAAGATCGTGTCAAGTTTCAAATCATGATGCAAATTTTCATTTCATATGAATTAAGGAGCACCAATGATAATCCTTCAGAACTTGTTTTGCATGACTTGCAACTTCTTCAATTCATTTTCTTTCGCACTTGCCCAGACTGGTGACGCGTGAATAGTAATATGTTAACGAATGCCCTTACAATAATAGCATGGCTAAAAAAGGTTGCAGGAGTGTTGCAGGGGGACCAGATCTTCGAAGTGTATGTATTTAAATTTTCTACAAGCTTTGGCCTTGCGGAGTAAATGAAGTTCTACTTAAATATAACTATATGGAGAATCTTCCACGTAGTAGTCAGTTTAGCTCGTGCTATTGGCAGGCTTATAAATTATACTGATTATCAGTTTTACTCTTCATCTTCTATGGAATATATGCACATGCCGATAAAATAATGCAGGCAGAACACTAAATAATAAAATAAAAATCCATGCTATAGTCTGTTACTTTACAATAGGCACTTCAAGGTTCTAACGACCCTACCTACGATCACAAAGTGTAAAGGCGATTAGGAGATTTTAGCAAATTAAAAGATGTGACTGCCTTCAGCAGTCGTCAACCATGGTTACAAGGCAAAAGGGGAATAAAATGATTGCCTATTATAAAGTAACAGACTCTACTAGAACATGGCGCACGTTCGTAAAGAAATGATAAGCTTAAGCTTTCGCGCAGAGAAGCGTTCATAACTGTTTCTAGATAATCGCCTCTATATGATGCTTCATAGATTTGATCAATGAATTTGAAAGTTTTGAAACCATGAATAGAAATAAGCTGCGCTTTATATATCACCTGTATATTCTAAATATTTATGAATCGTCTTGTTAATGTATGAATGATATTATCTTCTTCCATGTTTTCTATCTTTGTATATATTTGTAGTTATGTCTTTACTGTGTTCAAGATATGAAAACGTAATGCTCTGTTACATCAGAAAAAGCCCATATTATTTCAAAACAATTTATTATTCAGTCTAAGTATTCAAAAATATGTTAAGCGAATTCATATTGGAATTCCTTTGAATAATACAAATATATTTATTCTATAAATCTTGTTTGTTTTAATAACAGAAATTCCACTGGCATTTCATTAAATTTAAAAGTAAATTATCTCTTGGAAAATTAACATTTTACATCTTACAGTGAAGTAAATACTTAAGATAAGTACCATTCAGTATAGCTCTTATACTTTCTTATTATTAACTAAAAAAGCACAATATTTAATATACACAAGTGCAGCATTTTATAATTCTATACCATTAATAAAAATACAAAATTTTATAACATCTGATATATGCTAAAAGATATTACATTCAGGACATAAACAAAACTTATTTCAGATATTTATTGAAATATTTAAACTTAAGAGTACAGGTATAACAACAGAATAAATATTGTTTCGTTTCAGTAGCATATAGATCTGTTCAAAGATAGCGTTCCATGAACATTAAATTGAGAAAATAAATGCAAATGCAGACACCCGGAAACATCATTAAATACAGATTAAATACAGTACATCAGGTTTACGTCACAGACAGCAAGCAATGACTGCTAATTTGCATGAAACGTGCAAACCTTTATAAGATACTTTACAAACCTCGCGTTATACGGTTTCTCTGCTTTTGATCACTGTTTTCTTCAAGCGACGGCAGTTAACAGCAAAGAATGGGTCCTGAGACGATTTTTCCCTTTTGCACGTGATTTATTTCATTTCATATGGTGTCAATTCAAAGTACCAGATGAGGAGATGTATGACAGGGAGGATCCAAAACAATCTTTGTTCACCGAAGAAATTGGAAGAGCTATTGTTGGTACGCAGATAATTTTCAGAGACGAATTTGAGCTTATTTTCCAGAATCACGAATCTCAGAGAATGGGAGAAGACGGTTTCAATAAATTTGTGAACGAATGTATTGTTGCTCTCGTACCAGCTGGCGATATTATTGATAGAACAGTAGCTTCGATTATGATTTACGCTGAATTTACATTGTATCAGCGTAACATAGGTAACGAAGACTATTTTCAGTATTTACAGAGAACACCCAAATGGTGGTCAAATTATTTCCAAATTCACTTGTATGAGACCTTTGATGCTGAGCAAGGCTGGGCGAAATTACGTATAAAAGGAGAAGTATGGAATCACGTGTTCGTGAATGATAATCTAGACAATATTCGTTTCTACGTTAATTGTTCTCCTCAATACCGAGAAGAGTTACGTTATTTTAAAAACTTGTATTTACCAGGCTATAAGGCAGGAATCCAGAAATTCTTACGTCGTAAACCTCGGGAATCGCCCAGTGCTCGGGAATCGCCCAGTGCTCGGGAATCGCCCAGTGCTCGGGAATCGCCCAGTGCTCGGGAATCGCCCAGTGCTCGGGAATCGCCCAGTGCTCGGGAATCTTCCAGTAGGGTTGAAATAACCGCGGAGGACTAGCTTTCGATGCAATATTCAGTGAACATGTTACACCAGTATCTATATAGTGCCACTGCGTTACTGTGGTTTGTAAGAGTCTCAAAAGTTGTCATCAATTAAAGTTTCAATATCTTGCGTGATGTGATATATCGGAGCCTCGAAAAAGAATTAGATATTTTTCAATGGATAATAATGCACAGTAAGTAATTTCCCGAGATATTGATGTAACATTTTCTGTATTAGAATTGTGATGGATTGAGAACTTTAGCAAATAAATGGATGTATTTTTACTATGTGTACTTTTTTAAGATAGTAAATGAAGTAAGTTCTTAAGAATGTTCAAGTCCTATTTAAATATTTATGTGTGTAAATTTTGAAGAATTCTCATCTTTTCTTAGTGCAGCAACCTTAGTTTTATTAAGGGTAAATATACTTATTCCTAATTTATTGCTTGTGTAATATTATTAATCTGGAAGAAACCGTAATAACTCTTTTGTAAAACTTTAGTTTTTAATACATCTAAATTTTATCAACTTCTTGCTTTTAATTAATCCATTGTAGACGTAACTCTATTTTACTCATATAAACGATTTACTATGCTCTTTATGGAAATCCTAGATAACTAAGTGCCTTAAATCTGTAAGCAGACTTACCTTGTATACCTATTACACTGGGTATGTGAAGTAACTGAAGTGTAAAACCATCTAAAATGAACGTATCGAAGGAAGGATGCCTTTGTGAATTTTCTGAAGTTTGTAAACGCATACTTTGTTCCGAATTATGTTACTGTATTTATTAATGGTCTTCATATTGTATTTTGTGTATAACCAAAGTATAAACCAGTTTTCCTTAAAGTCTGCCCTAAAGGCATCCTTCCATAGATAAATTATCTATCTGCTGTGTTAAAATAAACTCTATGGATCCACGAAGATATTTTTTCATATAAACTGAGAGCAATAGTTTTAATGTATTAAAGATTTAGTTCCAATTTCATTCACATTAATAATTTTCGAAATTTTTGTGTTGTGCTTTTTGTATCAAGTCCTACTTTAGTCTTGTATTTTGATTTTAAATGAGAGTGGAATCAAAATGGAAAAGAAATTGACTCATTTAAGGTTAAGCTGATTAAAAACGAAAATATTTTTGTATATCTGATATTGAGATTTTAATAAAATTTCTAATGTTTGTTGCATATATTTGTCTGTTTACCAGTTACTTATATATTCTACGAATCTAATTTATGGGAATTTTAAGAATTGTTTAGAAGTGAATATATTAAACATATTGGACACGTTAAAATGCTGAAGTCCTTGTAAGTACACATCCGTAGAGAACTGTTAGCGACTGTTTACTTCCCAGAACCTAATCGCGAAAGTTTACCTAGATTCTGTTAAAAGAAAGTCGAAAGTAGATTGTTAAGCATCTTAAAAATTCTTGAAGCATTGAAGCGAATAAAATAATTAGTTTACGGACTTTAATTAAAAATACGGCACTGGGTAGATTGCTAAAATAATGTATTTGTGGCCATGAAGAAGAGCACGGAATTCAATCTTATTTTTCTAAAGTGCTGTGAAACCAATTTAAATTTTAGTTTAATTTTCAAAAGACTATTTTAAATGGAATTCCGTTACATTTATCAATTTCGTAGACAGCTTTTACAATATCCATGGCTTAAAATGAATGCCTATCGAAAGTATGAATGTTAAACGCTTAACCTTGCGTCAGTCTAAATAAAAAAAAAAAAAGCCTGCAAAATTTTACTTTAACTCATTTCTAAAATGTTTATGTTTATTTATTGACTATCTAGGTGCAGTTGGGTACACAAGCCATTCTTTTAGATCATTTAACATAACTGTCTTGGATTTTATTAAAAAATATTCATTACATTTTTTGTATCGAGTTCACGTAAATTACGTTTGAAACAACACAAACTTAATTTACGCAACATTTTACGAAGAGGATTTTAATGTTTATTGAAGATTTCTTTTAAATGCATATAAATTAAATCAACGTTTTAAAACTATATATTCTTAAAGAAGCTTACTTGTAATTAATTGATTTTGCTCTTGATTTTTTAACGAACGTTTTAGTCCTGTATGTTCAGAAATGAACTGGTTTCATCATTATCTAAAAGCAGGTTTCTTACTCAAAAGTAGATTAAATAAATGAAATCCTTATAATTTCTAAATCTGAAAAATATTATACGCAGTCCTTTCACAATGATTACATTTAAAAGCCACCAACATGCTTGGCAAAGTAAATAAAATACGGATACTGAATATTTCCTCCTTTGTAAGATAATCATCCAGAACTATAAATTCTTTCACCGTTTTTATGTTTAATATTACAGTTTATACAGGTGTTTGTTAATTTAATCATTCTGTTCGGTGAATACTTGATATGAAGAGGATTGGATAAAATAGTCGGAAAGGAGAATTCAAACTATTTTATGACATGATGTTGCCGTTGTATAGTTTCATATTTTGGGAGAAATTTTATTTTTCTTGTTCAAAACTTATAATTAAATGAGGCAAAGGCAGGTCATTATCAAGTCGGAATGCAATTCTTGCTATACTTCCACATCCCCTAAAGTTAATTTTCCAAATTATAAGACTAATAATGGTAGCAGGAAAAACGTTTTGACTCGTGCTTATATTGATACTTGTTCTCAAAGATCTTTAATTTTAAATGCGAGATTTTGCACCGCAAAGTCTAACCTTTCGTATAAGATGGGTTACAGGTATATGGGATCAGCGTATCTCGGTCGTAGATTATTTATCGAGACAAAAACAGGCATTTGTGAACATTAAGTTTATAAAACCTGATTATTAAATATATTTGATTCATACAGGTATAATTTTGACACATTGAATCGGTTATTTTTAATAGTATAGTCTGTATAACAGTCTCATTTGCCAAGAAGCGTAACTCCAAAAATTTTAATGTAGAATTTATCTAACTGATTACTTGGAACGGCATCTAGAAATTCTCCTATGTTAAATGAATTTCGTTAAAAGAAAGTAAGGGCAACTTCTGATATTCCTAAGGCTTTCCTACAAAATGGCTTATTTCTGAGTGATAGGAACTTTTCCTTGGATTAGCACTAAAAGTATTTTATAGATTAGAGTTTAAATGTTTAAAATTTTGATGGTCATGAACGAGCTCAGCTGGCATTCCAATACGCACCACAGGGAAAGCAAACGAACCAGCTCTCATTGCAAATCTACACCTGAGAGACATAGAAGAAATAATTATTATCTTAATTAATCCTGATTATTCTCTTAATCGCCGAAGTGTTAATACTATATTTAGAAAACTACGAAAGCTAAACATCCCGAGTTCTAAATTTTTTATAAAAGAGAGAAGTAAAATAGTGGGAAAAGTATATTATATATTATGTCTTTTGATACGATTATTGATATAACAAGCAGTCCTTTTTCGTTTGGAGCAATAATTCAGTATTCGCAATCTATTTAAAAGAATGGTAAAAATTGAGAACACTTTTCTGAAGTTATCAAGCTAATCAACTGTCTTCATGTAGATAATTTTTTAAACAGAAGTGACGTACGAGTTGTAATATTGTAAGGCGGAAATTCGAATTAAGTGTGGGGATTTACATACGTTACAAGTTTGAAAAATACCGTTTTAAAAAAGGCGCCGAGAGGCTCATTTTGGCAACGGCCTATAAGATATTTTATCCTATAAGTGTCATGTTCTTTTCGTGTATTTTCAAGGTTTTGTTGCAGCTAACATGGAGAAAAATTAAGAAAGTAGAAAACTAGAATTAAGAAGTGGATCTTAAGATTAAATCTGTGAAATGGGTAAAAATACTGTCTTTTTTGGAAAACATTAGCTTTCCAAGATGTGTAAAATATAAATCAAATCTGTGATTATACATTTAATTGTGACCTTAGCCGAATAAAATATGCGACAGAAGTTTTCATTCGTTTCAGATCGAAAGAGCTAGTTAATTACTTCATGTGAACTCTAGACTTTCCTCTTCTAGTAAAAACTGAATAACTATAGTCAGATTCGAGTTGTTAGTAGCTACAATTGCTTCTTGTCTCGCTGCAGTAGCTCTAAAAGAATTTAAGGCTGAAAGAATATTTACTGGACTGATTAAACTCTTTTTTTTGTTTGAATAAGGAGGGAAGAAACACGAATGACATTCGCACAAAAATGAGCACAGGAAATGCGGCTTTTAACACGTATGAAAAGACTGGAGACATGGATCTCTCAATCCTGCAAATCTTCAGAGTAAAAAGTGTTCAGCGCACCAAACTTCCCAGTTTAAAATGGTGTAAAGTTCCAAACTGGCTTTTGAATCACCAGAAAATTGCTTAGGTGCACAGCCGACGAAGAAAGAATAGACAGAGAAGAATATATTGGTATTTAATTTTTTGGTATCTATTAAGGCTCGTTTTTCCAATCACATAAAGGTGGTGAAAGTTGTTTGCTGAATGCAACAGATTTTTCATTAACTGGTGAACTTGTTGTTGAACTTGATCCTTGCGGAAGAGGCTGCGATACGCTTAGTTGAGTTGGAATCGTTTCAGGGCACGGAAGATACGCGTTTGCACACTCTTAATCCATTTTATGGTTGAATTTTAAAAACCAAAATTGGCGTATTCCAAAGAAATGACACTTTAGAATTTAGAACACGTGTAATATTACCTGGTAAACATCCAATGATTAGAAATTTAATTATGGAAGAAAGCACTTTCAGGAATATATGTATTAAACACCTTCAAAAATTTAGGTAGCTAATGTAGCTGAAAAATTGTTACTCAAAATTGCATTTTTGCAAGACATTCTCTTATTCTTATTGTTCAGTTATTAGCACCATCGCCAATAGAGCGAGGAAATGGAGAAAAGGCATAGATTTCTTTCTTCATGTGTACCATTTATAGAGCAGTTCATTTAGCGTTAGTTTTGTTGACAGAAATATTTTTTAAAGTTTTTATATCTCAAAACATTAATCCGACAATTACGTATCTGATAATGGGCAGATTTTTTGGAGTTTATAATGTATTCAAATTAATGGATTTTGAAAAGTTTAATAGACGGGTAACTGATGAGAGTATAACTTGGAAGTTCTTCCCTTTCCCCCTGCTGCTAAATGGTAGATTGATTGATTGAAGAGAATGTCTTATTAAAATAAGGCAGCAAGCCCTGAAGAAAGTTCTTCAGCAAACCTGTTGGTAATGTGAGAAAATGTGCACAGTATTGTGCGATTGCGAAGCTGGTTCAAATGACCGACCTTTTACAGTAATTCTTTCAAAACCCGATTTCAAGACTTTTATGAAAGAGACCCCTACTAATTTTATGAAAGAGATTAAAAACACCAATCTACCACATAATTTACAGCGAAAGCATTAAAATAGTTAAAGTGTATGGTAGACTTATAAGAGATTTTGTTGAGTGTAATTAAGAATCGTAGGGATTTCGCTCAAACAAAATAAGAAAATAATTGTTAAATTGGTGATATTGTTTTAATCGATAGCAACGATAAGTAGACTTTTTTTGGCCTTTTCATCATGTAACAGAATTACGTTCAGCAACTAGTTGTATTAATAGCTTTGCAAAGGTATAGATTCAGAATGAAGTTCTGAGAGCAGTTTCAGTCTTTATCCTTTGCCAGATTACAGAAAACCATTCCGCCATCAAACTGAGACAAGGCAAGAGGACTTATTTCAAAATTCTAAAGTAACTGGTGCAGTGTACATCAGTTGAGAGATAGGACAGTAACTTGATCTGGTAAGACAGTAATTCCACCAGGCAGATTAGCGTATTAGAGTAGGCAACGTTGTTTTGTCCTTTCATGTTGTACCGGTAGTTGGTTATTTGTTATGTAAGTTAACCTTTTTAAAATTAACTTAAATGACAGGATTACATGGTTATTTCAAAGACTCTAGTTTGATAAAGCATTTCATCATGAACTTAAATGACAGGATATCAAATATTGGTCGAAGATTTGGCGGATTTTGGATTCTCATTAATAAGGGGCAGACACCACTGGTACAAGAGTTTGTGTTTCCAGCTATGGCACCGTGGAGCAGGAAAGATTTAGGTTTATTTAATTATGCAAAGCACACGAGGGCTATCTGCCTAAGCGGAAGGATACCTTCGTGGAGGACTTACTGTGAGTAACTAGCTCATATATACGTTACACAAGGGTTTGTGTATTTATTTAT